GCATAGGACAATAACAAGGTTTGTGAACGGACGAAACAAAAAGCTTTTCTCCTGGAGCTGTATAAAATCTGATGCTCAGCTTATTTTAAATGACATCTGCAGTTCCAGCGTGGCCCAGTCAAAATGGTTTTGTTCTCGTTATTATTTTTCCCAGCAATTTATTTTTCATATATATAAATCGAATTGTCACCGGTTGTAGCCGTGTCATGATAACCTTTCCACTATTCTAATTAGTTTCCCTGAAATATGGAACATCTGCAGCCCAGTGGTGAGATGTCTGGGTGAGGACTGAAGGTGCTGTCTGGGCTTTCATGGGTCGGACAAGAGTGCCCACCTTTCCAAAGACCAGGAATTATTCTGGCACAGAAACATCACTGTGATATGAAACTGAAATCCTTAGAAAGAACACTAAACAAAGATATAGGTGTGGAATTTAATCTTATTAGTCTCCTTTGATTTGTGTGTTAACAGGCACAGAAAGACAGTCAAAGAAACAGGACTAGAAAGAAGTCATGTGCTTCCATGGTTGCGGCAGAAAAATAGGAAGGGTGGGTGACTGATATCAGTATATTGTAAGCATTAATGAAGAACAGAGGGAATTCTAGCGATATAATAATCCTATGACACAATATACAGATTCCTGTTGTTTCTACCATCAAAGCTGACTGGACTGGATGCTTTATATTTGCCTTTCACGTAATATGAAAGTGCCCAGAAGTAGGGGATGAGCTAGTTTCCTTATTAACCATTTCCTCTAAGAACTGAATTCCTCGCTCAAATTTTCTGTTCAGTCGTGCTGTCTGGATTTGTTACAGTGCCTAGTAATGCCATCCAAGTGTCCCATTGCACAATCTGGATACAACCCCTGCTTATAGTAGGTAGGGCTTCTAGGGTCACTGACACATTCCTGACTAGCCTCTTTCTGTGGTTTACAGCAAAACTGTTGTAGCAAACACATGAAAGGAGAATAGTGCCAATAGCCTTGAAATGAGGTTCAAGTAGCCCTCAGGTATGATTAATCCAAGTACAGTTCAAAGAGGACTTGACTTAATAGACCCGGCATATCAGTGTCACAGCAAGACCAGGATTCCAAACGTGAATGTCCCGATCCACTAGGGAAAACGGGGCACTGAGCAGCCGCCTTCTCCTGATGCTGTGAGGGTGAAGAGGGTGGCTGAAGAGGGTGGCTTTGTCCTTCTCATTTCAACTATACACACACACACACCAGTTGGACTCTTTTTGTCATTTTGCTCCGTTCTTCCTGATACTGTTCTCAGGCCACCTGTAATTTCCTATCTACCTCTAAATGACTAGATTTTTCTGACTTAAGATATAGCATTTTGGAGTTTAAGAGGTAAAAATGTGTGTTCAGCTTTTCACTTACTTTATCAATAAAAATTGACTATCACAAAGGTTTATAGAGAGACTCTCAGAGCTCATCATTCTTGGACAGCTGATTAGCAATGCTGTGCATTGTTATATGATATCTAGAATGGGACTTCATTAATTTACAGACATTCTTAATGTACTGCATAATGTCAGAGATTGCCTGTTTCCCACAAATAAACTTTTCTTCCTCCATTTAAAAAGATTTAATAGAAATGCAATGCAAGCATCTCTCTTTAGAACTGCTTCTACTAGTTCAAAGAATCAAGCGTTGATCAAATTCCACCATCTACTGGAATTCCACAGAATTACATGACTGCTTTAAAGAGGGTTCATTCTGCAACTACCAGGAGGGCCACGATCTGAAAAATGCTGAAGACTGGGGGAGTACTTTGCGGAAATATCATCACATGCTTGCCTTGCTTTCCTGCAATTCACTGGATATCTGCTGGTGAGTACTAGTTAGACGCTATGGTTACTGGGCTAGACAAACTTTTGATCTGACCTGGTACAAACAACTTTTTTCCCCTTATGTTATCTTGTAGGGCAAACAATACCAAAAAAAATTTTTTTTTAAAGAAAGCAAAAGTTCGAACATAAATTTCCCTCTACCCATGTAATACCACAAACATGACACCTGCCCCAGCTCTGGCTCTGTAGCATCACAGACACAGATGTGTACCTAGAACACACACATCTACATGGACTCCCCTGGACTCTCCTGCCTTGAGCAATCTCCACACCCATTGTCTTCTGCTGTTCCACAAGTATGTCTCACTGGCCTACTCTCCCGTGTGCTATACACTGGCCTTATATCCTGCCAGGGTTACTGTACGCAGTTTTAGACCTGAAAATATCCTGAGGAAGTCTTTGGAGAGTAAAGAAAGAAAGCTACAGCATGGTAGGCAGTGATAAACTCATTGGGATACTTCCCACTCTTCCTAAATAGGGCATAATACTCAGTTTGAGAAAAATTAAAAATTTGGTTTAGTTAATTAGAAATAGATTATCATTTAGGAAAACAGTCCCCAGAAAACCAGTTACTGGTGAACAGTGCTACTGTAATTACAGGATGAACTCTCAGGCATTATTGGCTTGTTACTCACAAGATCCTAGTGATATTTAAAACAGTTGTACCACGGGAGACACCTTATCCCCATTGAAGCAAGGGCATAAAGTCACATTGATTTAGCAGAAGATGTATTTGGCCTTATAAAGCAGGGAGCAGAACAGAATGGATCCTCATTCTGTCTTATATTTCAGGTAGGAACCTCTAAGATCTAGCCGTAACTTTATGCTCCATTCTCTAGTCCCTGTTCATCCACTGACATTTTAAGAGAAATGATTGTCTTCATTTGGGTAGATCCCGGGTCAGTCCTTTTCAGACAGCAGAGCCCCGTCCTTCCATCTTGGTGGGATTCTGACTTCTCCATACAAAGTGTGAGCTTGGTGCTAACTTTATCACTCCACAACGCTGAGTCTTTAGTTTCACTTCCAAATCCAAACAGGAGTTAGTTTATATATAGTATCATACTTTAAATACTTTATAATCAAATTACTATAAATAGATTTTATTATGAACTGAAAATGAAGATTGATTTTATCCCTTTATTCATTTTGACTTCTAGTCACTATATTATATGTTTACCAAGCAATACTGAAGCTGTAAACATTTAGGTTTACAATACACCAAAGAAGAAAGCAGACAAGCATTTTACTTCTGGTGTTGCTGTCTCTGTGGTGCTAGCTCCTGGGAGTGCTCTGTATGGAAGAGGACACTGCTGTTCCAGCGCTTTGCAAAGCAGATCAAGGAGATCATCCTTTCTCCAAAGCACTGGCAGCGTCATGAGTGAGAATGGATGTAGATCCCTTGTGTACTTGCCAGTGTCCTACAAGAGCAGCAGCAGAAAAAGGCCAGATATGTAAGAGGAGTTTATGCGTGTGATGACAATGCATAACCCACACTGCAATAGTACCCAGCATCAGAAGCCCTTTGTACACAGAGAGCAGAGGACCTCTTGTCAGATGTAGAAAGCAAAGGCCATTTTTGCGAGTCTTTTTGAAATCATCTAGGGGTAATAATTTGCAGTTCAAAGCCCTTGACCACATACAGACTCTGCATGAGACGTTTCTCCAACTCCAGTCTCTCCCCACGCAGGAAGCAGCAGTGGCAGCTCTTGAGCAAAGCCAACGTATTAGACTAGAGGGACTGTCCCATGAGCCAGGAGAAAGCCAGGGTCACCAGCTGAACCACCCTAATGGTGAAGAGCTGACAGTTAGGAGTTGACTGTCTGCATAACTAATACTCTGCTCCTGGATCTGTGCACAGACAGCATTCACCACATGGTGGATCCTTCCTCAGTATAAAAATGCCTGAGATGATGAGCCAAAATACAAACAAGTCAGTAGTAAAGAAAAGAAATAAAACCAATCTCTATCACCACAGTCCCACTACAGGCTGGGTAGAGCTTTCTTCAGCTAAGGATGCTTGAGTAGATCACATCATTGTTATATTTCAGAGAAGTTCAGTTCTGGTCTTCAATTTCAAGGCTGTACAAGGAGGTACAAGGCTGTACAAGGCTGTACTTGCCTGGACCATTCTGTCTTCTTTCTAAACATATCATTTAGATTTAGATTCAGAAGTGTTTTGGGGGGATGTGAATCAGCTCCAGACTCAGCTCCTAAATTTATGTATCTACACTGTTTGTATGTAAGTTATTTTTCTAAGCTTCCATTGTAGTCAGTGGAATCAATCAATAACAGCAGAACAAAATCAATACAGTAAATAAAGTCTAAGGAGCTCTTAGGCTGACCAAGCTTAGGCATAACTTTAGGGTAGGCCCTTTCCACACCCGTGGGCCCAAACTGCTTTGCCTTTTTTAATTTTCATATATTAGTTTGCCTTATTCACCTGTAGTGATGTATCTCTTTCAAAGCACCAGTGCTAAGTAAACTTTTTATAACTTTCCAGTCCACCAGACCTCAGACAGTGCTGGTGAGCCACTTGTCCAAGTAAATTCCAAGTCAGCCCATTTATTGTTTTTTCTGCCACAGAAACATCCCAATAAAAGGCAAAGCTAGCCAGGGTCCCTTCCCCGTAGTAGCACACAGACCAAGTTCCCAACTTAAGGAGACAGAGGCCAATCGAAAAAATAGCCTGAAGACATGGGTCTCCTGTTGGTTTGACTCCAAACGCTCCAAAGCGTTTGGAGCATACACTGTGAATTATTAAACCTGCTATACTGTGTTGCTGAAGCCACCACTATCCACTTCAAGCATGATAATGTGTTCTCAGTTATTGACAACTATCCCTTCATAAACCCTGCACGTTAACTAATTGTAATTACATATTGATATATTAAGGCAGCAATGGTTTGCTTATTTATGTTCTCAGTTCAGGAGTTAAATCAGGAAACAGCTAATTTCTGAAAGCCTCATTCGAATAATCATCCTCAGACATACAGCATATGCACAGTGCTACAAGCACCTTGTACAACAACACAGCCTGCCGGCGCAGCGCATGCCGCTCGGCTCGCAGGGAGGACGCCTGTATCCGAACTGCGCCGGCAGCTCTGCACATGCTCTGTGAGCCACAGTGAAATCCCATTCACCCTCCGAGGCTTGTTTGTCTACGGGCAGCGCTCTGCTGCTGATGCTGGATCATCTGCAGCATCTTTCAGGGCAATTTGATTCTCTGAAGCTAAGACATTTTTCACAAGCTCAGTTAGACTTCCGGAGACATCATTTTAAGAGGGCCCATAACAAACAGATATGCCATTGCCATTATGCCAGTGATAATGACCTTGCCTTGACAACAACCTGCAGCCGTAAAGCGAGTTTAATTCTCTGACAAGAAGATTGGCGACAGCTATCATTGAACATATTGTTTACCGTAATATATGGGATTCTTCCCTGGAAACCCTGGAGATGATATTTGTCTGGTCTGATTGTAAATAATGAGATAGGCCACAATGGATTTCAGTTCCTCATCAGTGTTTGATCAGCACAAAGGTAAGTAAATCACTTGCTACTAATTTCAAAACCCTCCGGTCCTCCCGTGCCTCCCAGGCAGATATACAAAGATTACTTGACAGAATCAATAACTGGAAATATTGGAAAAGGTCAGGCAGGTCTGATGGAGATTTATGTTGGTTCCACGTGAGGAGATGGATATTTCAGCCTATTGCTATGGTTATTTTTAAAAATAAAATATTTCAGCAGAATAGTAACAGCATTTAATTGGTTTTGTGCTTAGCACTGAGAGATGTACATGCATATTTATTATGTTGTATATTTGTGTTTTTGTGGATATATAACATTTGCAACATTAGCAAGCAGAGCCAGTTAAAATGGAGTGAAAATTTATGAAAAGCTTATTTTCACAAGTCTGTTAGTTGGGATATGTTGAAAGGAATAGACGCTGATAAGTGATTGACTTTGCTTCAATAAATCTTAGCCCTACTAGGTAACTACTGCCATATTTATGAATTTAAGATATCTTTAAAAGCCCCCAAATTAAGATTTTCTACATGTTTAGGTCTCTATAGAAATATAAATATCTCTTTTTTTGCCCATTTTTAAGTTAAATGGTTGAATTTTACGTCTTCAGATGCCTACACCTGTCTTTACCTCTTATGGCTTAATCTACTATAAAGAATGTAATTGTATTGCTTTTATGTTCTCAAAGCAGGAAACAGTCATTATTTGATTATCTCTGTTGCAACAGATTCTGCAAGCTGACTTAAAGAGAAACAATTTGTGTGCAGTGGACACAGTTTCCAGTGCACACCTGCAAAGCGTCCTAGCTGGTACAGCCAAGATGGCCCCAGAACAAAGGCGCTGACTTTACAAAAAGACAAAGGGCAGGAGTCAGTAAAGGGCAAGACAGATGCTGCCGTGCCTTTGGGTGTCTGCTTCCCACAAGTTGTACCTTTGTGCTTAGCGCCTGTGTTTTTCATGTGGTCCATGGGGAGAATGTGGTGCCAGAGCTTCATACAGGGGTGGCAAGCAGCCTGCAGACAGGCGATAGTTTTTGCTAAGCAGCAGCCTGTGCCTGAAGCCTTGGCCCATGCTCAAACACAGGCACTGCCACTAGAGCTGTGATTGAGAGCCTCCATTCACTCGGGGTCCCAAGTCCCAAATCTCCTTCTGAAATGAAGCAGCGGTTAGCTGATCTTGTGGCTCACGTAGCACGGCCAGTTGGCCAAGCATCTGCTCCCTGATCAGCAGGTGTACTTTGTCCCAAGTGGACAGGGTCCAATTTGTGTCCACAGAAGCACAGAAAATGCTGTGAGCTGCAGTCTGTGTTTGCCTCCCTTTCACCCTCAAGTAAATACACTCCATGTAAAGCAGCGGACTTATGTCTACCTTTCCTCACTGCTCCCACAACAGTCCCCAAAGCCTGAAGCAAGTCCCAAGAGCACTGGTGTGCACCAGCCCAACGGGGACCCCTCCCTGAGCAGCTGAGACAGAGAGCCATCAAGCAAAAGTGAAGGCAGTATGAAACAGTGACAAGAGACAAAAATAATACCAGCAAGGTTAAAGGAGGAAGGGAACTATTAAAGGGGAAGAAGAAACAGAGACCTCTACCACCACTATTGTAGAAACAGAGACCTCTACCACCACTGCAAGAAATGCTGGGTCATTAGATGATCTGTGATTTACTGGTTGCTTTTCCTGCTAGCTGCGTGGGAGGCAGAAGGGGAGAAGAAGCAGGCAACACACAGTAATGGGACACTGAACCCATTAGTCATCAGGCAAAGAAAGCTCTGTTCAAAATTCACAGTGCATGGTGGCTTTTCTCTAAATAGCATATTAATGCCTGTGCATCTTACTGTTCTAAGCAAGCAGAGGTTTGTAGCAAGCAGAGAGGCAATATTTTTCACTGGTCCAATTTATAAAAATTGAAAAATGCAGGCGCGCTTTCAGACAAAACATATCAACATCTGCTGCTCATATAAAACAATTCTTCCTTCCCTACATATCCTTACTCCCTCCTACCCATCAGAAAACTACTCCCAACTACAGGTTACAAAAAGAGCATTCCAGGCTTGAAAATTATACTGCCTCTTTGTAACATTTGTTATTGTACTGCTCTTTAATACCTTGTATTACTTATAAATAGTAATAGCTGCACTAATGCAGGACTTCCAGAAGCCCAGGCAAGATCAGATCTACCTCCTTGCCTAAAAATGCTTCGTGCTATTTAAAAGTGTGCTGTACTTGCCTTCAGATGTTTATCTTTTAAACAGAGAAGCTAGACAAAGGGCTAGATTGATACATTCCTGTCCAGGCACACATAGAGATTATTTTGTTAGGTAATCAATACATTCATAATGTTAGAGAACCAGTTATAATTTCCAATATCTGCACTCATCCACCTCCGGCTGTCCCTTGACACTGATGCGCTCTTGCTGCCAGGCCAGGGAGATGCCTACAATTCATGAAACAGGTTATCACTGTACAGAGAGAGAGGCACATCCCATTACTTCAGGAATCAAAGAGCTGGGGGAAGCGGCTGTTAATTGCATCCAGTGGATGCAAAGCTTTGTTGCCCGTGGTAAACCACTGCAAAGTGAGACTGCAATGGCACACTTCAGTCTCTGCCAGGGATTCACTGTCTATACATGAGAACAGACAGCACCTTCTTGCTGAAATTAAATAAACTGGCTAGTATTGTGTCCTGCTGATACGCTGTAGGAAATCACATAAGGCATTCATCTAATGGGGGAGAGAAGAGGCTTCCATACAGATGCTCATCTATATGAAAGAGGGGAGTCCGTTATACAAATTAGTATTTATTTTGTGCAGTGAACATTAATTACTCTGACATCCAGCCTTCTGTTCTCAAAACTCATGAATACTAGTATCATCTAAACCTCTCATCGTCAAGACCATGCATACTGAACTGCAGCAGTTTAGATCCTTACAAAATGTCATAGAAAATATGCACTTACATGCATATAACATGCACTTTGTAAAACAACAGATCAGCCAGCACTGCAAATGGTGTAAACTAAAACATACTCTTCATATAAGAGTCACAGAAGTGTTAATGACCTAAGTACTAATTTCATTGTCCGAATCCTGTGATCATTCTTTATGTCGATTTATGTTTATTTATTTTATATATCTCCTTTCAGACCAAAAGATTATTCTTCTGTATGGCAGAAATGATGTTTTTGAAATACTGCAGCTTATTTCAGATAGACTGGCTTTTAACTTTCATTCTTTCTGAGCATTTAACTATGAAAGAAAATGTCATAAACCTATACGCCCTTTGGTCTTTGTTTATTATAACTCTTCCAGATATTTCCATGAAACTGTTGGGCCTGTCTGCAGTTTTTCCCTACCCTTGCTCCATACACAGGATAGCAGTTGTACCTTCTGCCTTCCTGAAGCTGACTGACAGCTTCCTGTCACCAGAGGCAAGTAATTTTCCAAAATAAAATCTAAAACGTATCTGAAACAGCCCCAGTGCTTACTAGCATTTATACAACTGCAGGATAATAAGTTAAGTAACAGAGGGCCAGGCATCTGTCTGCTTGCAATCCCTTATCCCGCCTGAGGCCAGTGCCCGGCCAGCAGCTGAGTTCCCCAGGTGGGAAAGCTCAGAGCTACAAGTGCTCAGTACCTCACTGCTGACTTCATCACACTGCCTGCTCTCCAGTCCGCTCCTCTGCTGCTCAGGAAGGTGTCTGCAAAGAAAAATGACTGGTAAGCATAACAGCCAGGCCCCTGAATCTTGGTCAGTGTAAGCTGGAGGATGGTAATGTGGTAGATATTGTGACACCTGGAGCCAAATGATGTCATTTACCAACCCTCTTGGCGTTCCCCATTCCCTGTCACATGAATCATCAGAAGATCATGCATCTGTCTTCCTCCTCTTCCCCCACCCGGAGCTACCCATCCACACAAGTCACGTTAGAGCCACCCTGGCCCTTGAAATCAGGTCACCTTACAAAATGGAATTAGTGGAAGATTGCATTATGTGAGATGCACAATACGGGCACTCCTCAAGCCCTCCTGGCCCAGTGTCCCCCACTAGTAGAGTAACAGGCTGTCCCACCTGCCTCTCCTCGCTCTGCCGGCTAGGATTCACACGTGGGGAAGCATGAATCTTGAATGTGGCTTTCTGACACTGAGCCTTAACAGGAAGAGAGGAAGAGAGACCGTGTTCTGGGGGAGCAGGCACAGGAAAGCTCATTCGCTCATTCGTTCATTCAAAGTTTTGCTTCCTCTCCTAGCACTGGAAGGCAATTGGTCTGGTGAAAGCAGATTTAGCCCAGCATAGGTGAAGGCACAGAGGAGGAGGTGTTTAGGTTTTAGTTCATATGAAGCAGGGCAGAGGGAGTCAGTGACCCACGCATAGGTGTGCCTCCACGTTCTAATCTTCCTGCCCTCTTGCTCTCTAGGTAAGCAATTGCTCTGATCACGAGATGGAGAATTGCCTTTTCTGTCTGGATTGCTCTACTTCTGACTCAAGGAAAAAAAAAAAAAAAGGGACTTACAATCCTAAACAGCAAAAAGTATAAAATCTACATGTGCAAAGCATAAAATGAGGTGAAGGCCCCTTTGATTCCCTATCTTTCCCAACACATCTAATGATTTCTTTTCCTCCCCAGCTATATCTTCACTGTTCCATTCCCATACAAGGACAACCTCACATAGCTGTGAGAGGTGCTGTGTCAGAGCTCATGACTGACACCTCCTGGGTACCTGCAGAGCAGAACTAACCAAGAAAGAGCAATGCAAGCTTAAAATCTCTGCCTTGTCTCTGGGCCTTCCACCCAGCCCACAGTGCATCCCTTTTCAAGTCAGGGATTAGTTCAGATATGAACTTGCTTTGGACTCATCTCTGCTGAGTATACCTGTTTTAAGAGCAGTTTGCAGATTTGGCATGATACAGAAATCTGATTAATGGGCCCTGTGGTAAATCCAGTTCATTTTTCACGCATTAGTCACTGATAATGACCCCAAGGGGTAGCGGCTGTTAGCCCCTCCTGATCCAAGCAGCCCGAACAGCCCACATGTCAAAGCGACTGCGGCAAATGACCAGTTCTCTGAGCAATATACTCCCCACTATAATTGATGTCAAGCTAGCATTTTTGATTTACAAATTTTATCAAATCTGTAATTTAAAAGATTAATTAGAACAAAAAAGAAATGTAATTCACTTCAGCTGAGTAGTGAAGGAATAGAAATATGTGTATTGGTGAAGGCAGATTTAGTATCAGCTTTATAATTTTCCCAAGCCCATAATCACAGCTCCATATTTGACAGACTAAACTTTCCCAGGGTGAGAGCTGATTCTGTCTCCATGGTAGCCAAGTTTTAAAGCAGAGAATGATGACTGTGTCTCGAGGAGAGAAGGTCATATGTGTGGAATTATGCTGGATTGTAAATCGTAGTGTGGAACTAATGTGAATTCAGCTATGACACCATATGATCACAAACATGAATAGTGCAACAAATACTTTAAATCTTTAAAGAACTTTTATCATTCAAAAAACTAGAGAACAATGCTTAATATAATTTATATCAATGTATTAATAATATTATTATATGATTAGAGAAAAGTTTTTTTACTAACTCTTTTCAAACTCTCTTTAAAATATTTTTCTTCCTGCACAGTTTACTTCTTATGGATGCTGTCCCCAAATGACATAAGGAAAAGTCACTAGTCACTCAGTTTGTCTTTCCTTTGATTACCTCACTAGTAAGATTGAAGCATCACTTTTAACTTTACTCTATTAACAAGGCAGTGCAGTGGCTGGACAAATCTTACACTCTCTAGCTCTGATCCTCAGCTATACTAGTGGGATTTAAAGTGACTAGGAGAGCTTACTGTAGTTGTATTTCTTTTTGAGTTAAGGGAGCTCGCCCTCCCTTAAAAAACACCTGTTTTTTAAATTAAAGGTGAGACTGTAGCTGACTGACATTACATACCTAGAACATTTTACCGTGACATCAGGTTTGAGCCTACCCCAAAAAACAGCTCTTTGGACTCATGGAATTAATAGGTTAATACTCCACTTGAAGCCAAAGAAGGTGTAGATGTGTGGAGCATGTGATAAGCAGTCTGGAAGAAAGGAAGTTGCAAGCAAGGAGATAAGCTGTGAACACAGAAAAGGATCTCACTCATTTCTCTACTAGCAAAAATCTGAACAGTGTTGAAGAACAGCTTCTGAAAGGCAGGCTCAAGCAGATTTTCCTTCCATTGTAAGGGCCTCATATACTAATTATCTGTGTTTAAAATTCACTAGATGTAAGTTCATAACAATAATGCATCTCCAGTCACTGTGCAGTAAAAGATAAAGGATAATAAAGGAAGCATCCTCATAGATCAGACCTCTACAATTCATAGAGTAGAAAAAAGATTGAAAAGTAGGTTCAGAATCCCAAACAAGAAAATATAACTGAAGCTTGACAATTAATCATTTTGACTTCCAAGAAATGTTTCTAAATTATAAAATGCCATATAAAGACAAGAAATAGACATGCAAGTGCACTTAGTAATGAAACGGCCTGATGAGAAACATTAACACACAGAAATTGTCATTGGTTGCTGAGTGCCCAGTAGAGCTCCTAAAACACCCAGAAACACCTTTTTTCCACAAATTAATCACGTTCAGTGAAGGGCGTGTTTAGTTTTCAGTGCCTCTGGAACCGATTCACTGCATGGCTTAGATCAAGCTATTGGGTGGCCTTCTCCAGACATTTCCTCTTTGTCTGCCTCATAGGGAGAGTTAGGTGCCTTCAAAGGTAATTAGATGCCTTTATCTTCTGTGCGAGTCTAGCCCATAATAGCCATATATGTGTTTGTGAATGCTGGATTTGTATCTATAAGTGCATGTTAAGCATAGCACTAGAGATGCCCATACCTCATTCTGAAAACTGAATTCTTTTTTTTTTGAGATCAGTTCATAAGCTCACCAAAAATCAATAACATTTATTTCATGCATATTCCTATATGTAACCATGCCTTTCTGTCATTTGTTTTTCTCTTCTATAGCTATCCTTTTAACTCAGTCTAGGGGGCCAATGAAAAGACCACAAAGGCACAGATTCACTGGGGGAGTTAGGGGACTGAATGTGGCTGTGGATGCCTCCATATTGTAGACTTGCCCTGTGTCTATCCTTTGCATAGATCTCTTATTTTCTGTTCTGCTTTCTGTTTCAGATTTTTCCTGAAAAATCCTCTGGATCTGAGGAATAAGTTGGTTTTATAATAGTGTTTGGGTTTAAGATATATCATTCAGAATGCATTTTTTTTCTTTTAAACAGCTTTAGCTATTACTAGTTCTTGGGTTTATTTGCCCATAGATTTTGCTCAGCCATCATTACTGCACAATGTACAAAAGTGTGCCCTCGCAGTTCACTAATGACAATTCTATTGATGATTACCACTGCTTTCTGTGAAAAAATGTATTTGAAGAAAGTAGAGCCGCTTCTTTAGACAGCTCTTGGCTGGTTTTATGACAGGAGCATGGCTCACTGCTTAGGGCATAGCATTTAGTGGAAGGAATTTAAGGTTGAATGAAATTCAGTGCAGGACTGAGAAACTTCTCTCAGCAGCCTGACTATCCAGGCCTGCAAAATCAGCCTCTAATATCAGCATTTTGGAAACAGAAACAAAACATTCCAAAAGCTGAGCAAAATTGAAATGGCACATTTTTGTGTTTGAAGCTAATTGCTGGTAACTTTAATGGCCCAAATAAATGCTCTAGTTGGTGTAAAATGATTGATATAAAGTTCACATTGATGAGCTTCCAGTAGAGTTTTATATTATTAGTTTCACTCTATCCATGTAAGTAAAGTTTCAGAGCAAACAGAATTATACTCTTTCCTGTAATATCACAGAAAAAATATTCTTTAGTGCAATTTTTTTCCTTCCATTTTAAGTTGACATTAAATAGTGCAAAACTTTGCAACACAGAGAAATAATACTTTGCTTTTGGGTAGTGCCTCATAACAAACAATCTCACTGCGGTTTTACAGACTTCCACATCTCTCAAAATCATGGAGCTTACTGGATTGCCTTCTGTAGATCACTTTGCACCACTGGAGTATAAAAAGTGACCTCAAAAATGAGGGGATTTCTTTGCCCCAGAGAATTAGCCACTGATAGAAAACGGGTAGTGATAGTTGCAATGCTTCGTTGCCCAGGCATCCACTCTCTTTCCTCAAGATAGCTTACCTGAAAGTGCATCAATATCTATTTCAGTTGACCAGCCATCCTCACTGGACATAGGTTACCTCTGCTCTAAAAAAGCTTTTTTGCAATACCTCATCCTGTAAGTGTCAAAGAAAATAAACCCTTCCTGGGTTCAAGCCAGCAGTTCACCTTTCCTTTTTACAGGTATTATTAGCACAAATCAGAACTGCCAGAAGTTCATTTTCTGAAAAGAGAATTCCTCTGATTGCCTCAGAGGAAGGAAGTAAACAATCTCAGTCTTTTGACTGATGCAAGGATAAAACAGAAATTGGAAATATTTCTGTCCTAATTGTATCCTATCTCATAGAAGTGTAGCCATTAATACTATGAGGTAGTTCAGTTGTTACTTCATTGTTGCTCATTTCATCTTCAGCTAATACTAGTATGATTTCTTATAAGGGGCTGAAACTGTCAAGAAGTTTTCTTATGTCACTCTCATTGTCTATATCTGACAATTTTTGGAAGAATTTAGTGGTGAAGAACAAGTTTTAGATGACTAATGAAAAGCACAATGCTGTTTGGATACACTTTGTTCCACCTTGAGTTATACAGTCATACAAACTCAGTGAAATACATATAATTGTTTTCGCTGTTAATCATTTGTACCTGATCTCTGCCTACTCACAGACATACTCCTCCCTGTAGGTGATGCAGCAGAAGAGATTGACTTGACTGTGGTTTACCAAGCAGCAGCTAATGGCGATGTGAACACCCTAACTGCAGTGATTCGAGAAGATCCTTCCATCCTGGAATGCTGCGACAGCGAGGGTAAATGAGGGCTGAGCTTGTTCTCAGGGGATTGATTGCCTCAATGTGCAGTTAAATTGTAATCTTTTTCCATTTTCTATCCTGATTTTCATGTTCAGCAAATTATATATAGTAGCAGAAAGTGGGAAACTTGAGTTATTCTTTGGAACATCCACTAGCAATGCACACTTTGGATACTTCTTTCCCCCTGTAATTATAAGATCTTTTATTCGGGTACAAGATGATGTGATATAATCAGACAGTACTTTACCATGAATCTATTCTATCTTCTTCAAGAGGATGTTGCTGTCATTTCAGGGAAGGAAGAAGAATCTTTTTTATCAAAGCCAAATGCTGTACATTCTGGACATCTCTAGAGTAGAGTTCCAGTCATTTGCACTTAAAATGTATGTGCATAGACACAAACAAATTTGAAAGATTTTGCCATCTGATTGTTTGCTAAAGGGATGACTGCACATGTGCAATGAACTCGATGATCTGTTTTATTGCTGAGATTGCATTCCTTTTCCTTTTGTACACAGTTTACTATATCATGCTAACACAAAGTGCTATCCATCTGTTGGGTTTTATGTACATCTATTTCCCAAGTAAATTAGAAACATAGATCTCTGAAAGCTTCACTCAAGAAATACTTTGTTTATTCAAGAGTGTTTTTATTGCAGTTTCTTTTTACAGGATTTGTATGTACTCTGTATATTCTAATCTTACCAACTTTTACCAGGTTACTAATTTTTCCTGTACCGAATTCTGACATCCTAACTGTTATGCTCACAACAGGTATCGGTCAGTGGAGAAAATGAGCACTCAGTCAAGCTGACACCTCCTCAGTCTTCCAGATCTTTAATGGGAGGGGGATTGGATATAAAAGAGTGGCTGGAAATAGACTGATCAGTAAACTGAAATACTGCAACTCCAGAATAAACTTGTTCACATAGTTGTACATACAAGTGTAACTAAGACCACTCTTGCAGGAGAAAATATATGGCCATATTCTGCACATATGGCAGAATCTGCATAACTCTAGCTTGAGTAGTGCATTTTTGCTTAGCAGTCTCATTGAATTCAATAAGAATAATTATTCTTCAGATGGGCCTTTATTGCAAATTATTCAGGTTAATTCCCAGATTAGTCATTTTAAATTGCTTTGTCATATTCTGCTGGAAAATCTCTTGCTATTATTCAGCAGTTAACAGAATAGAAGGAAGAGGAAGTAATTAAAAGACAGCATCATACTTCATGATGAAATTTTAATATTAAGTAAGTTTGAACGTAGCTTTCATGGTTTATCCAGCACAAAAATGGTTTGTAGAATATAAAGTACGTTCTGAAGATGACAGAAGAGAAAATGTTCTAGAACAAAGGCAAGTCTGTAAAAGAATAAAATATTATCTCAAGCATGCACTCCTTTGCATGGCATAGGGTTTGATTTCACACATCTTTTGAATACATAGAGACAGCATGAAGCTGGGGTTTGAGAAATGTAGCCAAGCACTTAGCTACTGTTCACTTGGAAGAACATCAGCCTCCAAAATGGTATACAAAGCCTACAATTCATGTTGAGAGCTTGTCAACAGAAAAATAATTTTCCCTCCAAAAGTCGAGTTAATGAGATGAGGCTTTTGCTAATGAAGTCATGCTCTTCCTAGGATCAAGTGCTCATCTAGTTGGCATAGGAGTTACTTGCTGCCTGCAAAAAAACTGAGTACAGCTGTTGGACAGTTGTCAGAGAAATGATTTGTTAATTTACTGGTACAAAATTTAGCAAATAAGAAAAGATCTTTATCTTACAGCTTTGACAAAACACAGATTATAAGAGAACGTCTGACTTTCTTCCCCAGGTTGCACACCTTTGATGCATGCTGTGTCAGGACGCCAGGTCGATACAGTGAAGCTTCTGTTGAAGATGGGAGCAAACATTAATACTCAAGATGCTTGTGGACGAACCAGTTTATCTCTGGCAACTTATCTGGTACAAAGACTTAGGCGAGAAGGATGGAAAGATAGATGAAGGGAAGAAATATGTAGAGCAAATAGGATTGCTGCTCGTACTGTAGCAGGAAGAAAAGTACAAAACATGGTTCTAGACAACAGTGAAATTTTAACCTCTGCTATAACCCAAGGCAGGGAGCAACGATTGTAAGAAAATGTTCAGGACTCTGAAAAGTTGTACAAATCAGTGCATGGTATGGGGATCTTACTAGACCCAGAGGCCTCTGTGTGAGTTCAGGAAAGCCACTGGTTTCCTATACATGGGAAAAGGATTTTAAATCCCCTCCTGTCTTCTAATATGCAAATTAACTTTTCCCCTCCCACTTCCAGCATCAGATTTTTGTGCTCCGGAGAGGCCATTCCTCTCTCAGCCTTTGGAGGACCAGCAGGCATATTTTCCTCCATGCCACATAAGCCAGGGCACTACTTTTCCTTTCATGATAGCACTGGACCTTGGCTGGCCAGGTCAAGAGCTTAAATTCAAGTTGCTGCAGGTGCCAGTGCAGATATTCAGATCATAAGTGATCCAGTCCCCCGATCCACATGCCAGTAACAACAGGAGAAGAGATCCCACTGTGAACTTTGGGAAGGGAGACATGGTTCAGGACTGGGATAACAGGATGGCAGGCATCAGGTTAGCAGGGAAGAGGGGTTGACCATGGTCTGCCTTTATTAGCTGGAAAGAAGAGAGGAAGGAACGTTTACCCAAGCTGCATGGTATGAGTTATTGCTGGATAAGCGCCAGCTCATTTAAATGGATAAAGTGGCCCCCTAATTCAATCACATCCCTTACCTCTAGTTTCTTCCTGCATATTCAGGACAAAAACAATGCTTCAGCTCAGCTATGAGACATTCAGCCAGAAAATAAGTGTAGAAGGTAGGAAAACAGACATTCTTATCCAATGCAAGGAGCATGCCCCACTTACTTCAGAACAAACATTTCCTTTGCCAAATATTTTCAAAAAATCCTACAATCAGTGTCATGCTCCTTTTTTCCTTCCTCTTCTCCCAGAGGGGAAAAAATATTCTCTGGAAAAAAACAAAATGACTGGAAAAGATTTTAGCCACCCAGGCTTCAAAGTTTCCATCTCTGTTTCTACGATGAATATAATCTGAGATCTAGAGAGCATTTGGCTGCGATGTTTGTCCAGAGAATTGAATTCAGCATATTCAGAGTTGCATGCAGAATTCAATCGTCTTATAATTCCACTAGGAGAAGCAACAAGTATGTTCTAGCTCCCTCATTCCACCCCTTTTCCTTAAAAAAGCTGGTGATACCAATCTGACTCGAGTAGTACAGGAGGGAGTGTTCTTTATAGATTGCTTGCAGAGCTTTGAGCAAAAAACCTTAAACACATGCTTGACTTTCCTGGAACTTAGGCACACGCTGAAAGATTTACAGAACTACAACCAGATTGCTGACTTGCCTTTTTGTTCAGGTGACCAATAGAAGGTTTTATTCCAAGAACCATACCATCTGCTTTGGTGCTGTTTTCAGTCCAACATTTTCACTAGTTCAGACTTCTGCAACGAAGTTTAAAAGACCACACTCTAAGGCTTTTTAGTATCGATTTGCCATCTGTGCTAAATTCTCATAAAAGAAACGAGATTAAGTGTTCATGTTCTTGGTTTAGCCTGGCATAATGAAATCCACATGCAGGAACATGCGTAGCATTTGCCAGTGATACAGGAATTAGCAGATTTTTAATCACTTTTACTCCTGGCCACAGCTGCAGAAAAACCTGAATGCAGTGTAAACAAAACATTTTATCACAAAAATGCATGGGTGATCCAGTCTGAGACTCACACTCCAAAAGGGAACCACTCCTGGTGCTGAGAGACTTGCTGCGGGGAAGCAAAAGGCCAGTTCCTCAGGTCGTAGAAATGGCTATAGTCCCATACTGAAGTCAGATATGGCTTGATGTATTTTACTTTCTTCTTTGACATGTAATTTCTTTTCTAGGGCTGGCTGGAAGGCTGTGTCAGCCTGCTCAGAAATGGTGCTAAACAGAACATACCTGATAAAAATGGAAGGTTGCCACTACATGCTGCTACCGCAGAGCCTGATGTGAGGTATGTCCCAGGCTCCAACAGTGTTTGGTGGTTGAATATTAACAGATAGTCAGTGAAGGAGTTTACCTAGCACCAAAGGCAGCACAGGCCAGGAAGGTGTGACAGTTACACTTGCAACGTGCTCTTTTGCTTAGTAGTTATCGTAAAGGGGACAGAAAGGAGGAAAAGCTTTGTACAGCACTTCTATATCACAGATATATGGCCAGATATATGGGGGAGCCTGATTTGAGATCTCAACAGCAGGAGAAAAAAACAAACAGCATCATAATAGAGGTTGAAACTCTGGATGTTCCTTGACCAAGTACCCTTTTGCCACCTCCCCACAAGAAATATTACAGGAAGCTCTTTCTCTGGACATCTTCCCTGAGTACCATGGCAAGTGTGAGAAAAGTTTTCCACAAGACAAACTCTCTGAGAGCCCTTACTGTAAAGAGGAAGCTGAGGTTTAGTGGACTGTCTCATTCGTAACTACTCTGAGTAACAGAGTTTAACTAGGCTGAGTAACAACTAAAGAGTATTTCTTCACATATTTCTTCATTCTCGTCTTAGGGAAGATACTCTTTTTCTCATTTTAGCCTATGATAATAGGAAAGCCGACACAATTTTGAGTCTTGATTTGCACATCTGAATAAATTCACTCAGAAAACTCTCCTAAGTAACTCATGTCTAGATGGATAGGGAGACATTAGAGAGAGGTAAAACATTCAGTGAACGCAAAATGTTCGTCTAGCTTAACCACTAAGGCTATAGTTTTGCTGTTGTTGCCAGCCTAGAGCTCTGTGCATTTCTGCTCATCTTGCTCTTCACCCTCTTTTCAATGGCTTTATTAATTTTCCGTCTTCATCACTGCTTTTCGTGCATCACTTAAAGGGACTAGTTGGTGGTTTCTGCGCAAGTATCAGTGCATATCATTAAGCAAAGCCTCTACAGAAAGAAGACAATATTTGTACAATACTAGATATGTTGATATTTGAAAGGAACAGTAATTTACTTTAACAGCAGCACATAGACTTCCCTGAAAGTTTTTTCACATTCCCCATGGACACAGGCACACCTTTGCTCTGGCCAGTTTACCAGCTGCTCAGCTCCTCTGCATCTGCCTTCTGGCTGGGATTGCCCCATGCCTAGAAGACATGGCTGGAGCAGCAGGGGTGACTTTTCCCTCACAGTCATTGCTGCTCTCTTGAATCCCATCTCATGGGCAAAAGGGCAAAGGTGGTGGCCAGCTATGAAATGCTTTTTCAGCCAAGCTTAACAGCTGGCAGCCCACTTCTACAAGCCCGTGTGCTGGAGGCAGCACATAGACTGCATGGAAAGGCAGAGACAGCAGTCACTTGATTTATGATAATTTATCACTTGATTTGATAATTGATTTACATGCTTCAGTGCACGTTCCACAGAGCCTAGGAGAAAAGGTAGAAAGAGAATCCATGGACTTCCTGACCTCTATCTGCAAAAGGTATATTTAAAAGTAGTAGATATCAGAGGATTCTCAGCTGGGGGTCAGTGAATATCCATATATTTCAGTGGTAGCATTGCTATAGCCATAATGGTCTGAGGATAGAAGTGAGCTAAGGTTTGTGGATAAAGGCTTTAAAAGAATGATATGTGTCTTTCAAATACATTTGATTCATTGATGATATCTGGGGTTAAACTACAGAACCATGTAAAGAAATATAAAACCGTGTGATACACGGGATTTTCAATTACAGTTTTTTAAGGTCTATTTTTTTTTAAAGGTCAATTTTCAGTTACAGTTACCTCACTTTTTTTCTGCTCACTAGTCTCTTTAGACTGGTTTTCAGACACTGAACTTCTGAGGTTCTGTTTTAACTCATCCTGCCAAATGACCATAAAATGTCTCTTTCCTTTTACAATTTTTTACTGTTCTAATCACATCAGTCCTAAACCGTCATCCTTTTCAGAGTTCCTATAATATGTCTCTATTATGCTTTATGATTCAGAAAGGGAGGTGTAACGCCCCTTTTCTACAGGGATTGTACCCACATATAAATGGAGTTGAAGTCCTAATAAAGCACTGGGATATTCCCAGTCTTCACGCTTCAGGAGCTTTGAGTTAAAAAAAAGAACTGAATTTGGACTTCTGCTACCTGAATATGGCATTAACAAATAGATTAGCTTTTCACCTGCAGAATTACCTAAATCATCCCTAAGCAATCTGAAATGTCTTCCTTCTGAATAATTTACATTATCTAGTTGTTTATTACTGGAAAAAAAACCCACAAACAGATTTCTCCTACAATGTTCTCAACTTAATCTGATGAACACACCTGAGGAAGTTCAATCCAGAAAATGTACTGGAAGCAGCAGAAGATTGTCCTAATGAAAAGCAGTAAAAGATTTTCATTCGGCCTCCTTCAAGTGAGAATAAATGCATGATTGCATACATTTAACTGTGCAAAATTTACAAACTCAAGGAGTTGCTCTTGTTGAGCAACTTGCTGCTCTCTAATGAGAATGAAGCAAAAAAACTTCAGAATTCAGGAAATAGCATTTTACCCCTATAAAGTACTGTCTCCACGCTTTGTATTTGTTACTTACTCAGAGTTCCTACCTTGACACTTCATCATCTTTTAATTTCCTTGCAAAACTGTGTGTCTTTTTAAAATCCATGTTTTGAATGTTTCTAACAAACTTACACCTTCAGATGAGCCCCAGCCACACATTTGCATTACGATTCTGATCCTACATAGGGATGCACTAAGGATAAATCTTTCTATTTGTTAGAATCATAAGAACTGTACATAAGGGCTAGTATCTGTGCTATTTGGCTTTGTTACAGGCTGTGACAGATGGTTCTTGTCATTTCTATGGTCCATTCACCTACATGGTCCAAATACTTTACAGCCTTCTGTTAGACACAACTATCTGCTCCAAACTGACTGTGATTTCAGATCATCTTCATAGGATGACATAAGGACAAGGAAAGCAATGAAGACCCTGTGGCAAAAATCTGTTAAGTGCTACAAATGTTATTGCACTTGAATAATATTTTATGTGTCATCATTCTATTGTAACTATTCCCTCCACCAGAGGGGAGTGTTTGTAGTTTGACATTCTACAAAAATGTGAACCGATATGTTGCTGTATTTTGTGCCATAACAATGGCCTTATCCCCACACCACACTGGAAGGCCTTGTAAAATCCCATTGATTTGTATGTATGTAGGTATGTATGCATGTATGTACCCACAAACACACACAAACACATACAAAATACTACACTACTTCAAGAGTCAAAAAGTCTGAAAACCCATTTTAGAAATAAGTCATTATCATTTCTGTTTGTTTAAAACTTCATAAAATAAGATTACAATGGATTTCTAAGTTACAGAAGACTGCATATGCTTATAGTATTACACATTCTGATTCCCCTCTGGCAATCAACATAAGAATTCTCCCTAAGGTATCTGCTTTTGATTCTCAGTGGTAAATTTATGTCGTTACAGTAAGCCATCAGATCCTATTTGCTTCTCTAGCACTACAAAACCCTGACCCGTGCCCATCACTAGTACTGATTTTGCTTCCTTATATTGCATGTTTTATTTCTCAATAAATGTCAGTTTTTTGGATTTAGTCAGGAGTGCGGCACACTGATTATGTCATTGCTTCTGCAGGCTTCTGAATGTGCTTCTGCAGCAGTCAAATCTTAGTGAAATTAATCATCAGGACAATGAGGTGAGTGAGCTTGCGCTACAAGTCACAGTCCCGGTCTCTGAGGTCATACTCTGAGGTCCCAGTCTGCGCAGAAAGAAACCACAGAACCACCAATTTTATGAGGAGACTATGCACAAACCTAAGACTTCTCTAATGCTCTTGCTGAACTTTGCAAAGCCTTGCCTCATTTTTCTTACTATGATGTGTGATGCACCTCTAGACTCATAAACCTCCTCTATATACTGCCAGTTGTGAGGTATCTGGAAAAAAGTCTCTTAACTCATTTGCCAATACATAAATAGCTTTTGAGTCTTCTGAAGTGAGACACTGGACTGAATCTTCACCTCTTCCAAACCCCCCACCATTAAAGAATTAACAGTTCTCAGGGAAAATACCAGAAACCTAGTATAGCATGGAACAGTCACAGAGCTACAAAAATTATGCTGTGTTACTCTGATCCTCAAAGAATTGTGCCTTGCGTAAATATATATATATAAATACTGTGCACAGGAAAGTCTCAATTTTTCAGATGTGACTGAATCTCCATATAAAGAAGCCAAGACGCAAGAGAGACTCTGGACACTTTTTCATATGTTTCTCTTCACTCTAGCAATTGCTCGAGGATGATTCTCCTCTCCACAGTGCCAGAACCACCACAGGGCTCCTAATTTTCTCTCTTTCCATGTACCTTCCTTGTCCGCTAGACAGTTTGCAGACCCTGCTTACAACAGCCTAAAGCAGCCACAGGGTTTGCCTTTGCATAGAGTTATGTTGCTAATGAATTATATCAAACCCTGGATGGCACTTTCCAATCCATAATGTTTTGCTGTATGCATCAATAAATGAAATTTAGACCTTTTAGTCTAGGTCATTGTCATCTGGCACTAAGAAGGTATTTGTTCAGGTATCAGTACCAACCCTGAATATTCACGCTTTTTGAAAAATATGGGTCCTCACAACTGATTTCAGTTAATAAAGCTGTTCTCTTGGCGTAAGGAAAACACTTGAGAAAAACACCCCAATGAATGCATGAACACGTAAGCAGTAAGAAATACATCTGGAGGTTTCATAATTTCCACAACTGTGGCTTTCTGTGGGTTTACTTATGAAGCCTGTGAGATGACAATGTGAACAAATATTCCCTGAAAAAGCCCAGAATCTGGGCAAAATCAGTATCATAGCATACTTCCCAGATGCAAATAAATGTTCTGCCTGCTACTTCAGGTCCACATTTTCTGGATTTCACTCTTCTGTGGTCACTGCCCATCATCCATACCTTTTTCTTTTTTTTTTCTCCCGTTTTGTCCCCTCTTGCTCCTTATTTTTATAGATGTTCAACTGTTTGCCTTTCTTATCTTTAATATTATATTTTGCTGGATCTTCAGACTCTTCCGGCTTTGCTTGTTCTGACATACACCTCATGCTCTAGCTCACAAACGGTAGACTATCAACAGATGCCACTCAAGGGTGCTATCACCATGCACAAATCAGAGGGGTATGGGTTGGATAGTTGCAGCCCACTGCAGCAGGCCCGCACGTGTGAGCTGCCGCTATAACCAGCTCAGTGCTCTTTGCTCAGTTCACTGCTCCGAAAGGACACGTGGAACGTACAAATTATTAGAAAAGAAATAGAGAACAAAACAGGAAGCAACATTATGCTCTGTCTGAATCCTTGGTACGGCCACATCATGAATACCGGGTGCAAAAATCATCTGAAAAAGGATATACAAGAAAAGGAACAGAAAAGGACTAAAAAGATGATCACAGTTATAGAACAGCTTCTTTTCATGGGCAGGCTAACTAGAGCAAACTAACTAGAATAGGACGTTCAACTTGGTAAGTATGTCAGAGTGATGATAATAAAAGTCTGTTGCATCATAAATGTCATGGAGAAGGTGAAAAGGGAATGATTATTCACTGTTTTTTACATCTAAACTGTTGGGGACACCCACAGAAATTATCAGGCAGCTGTTTAAAGAAAATGAAGGGAAGTACTTTTTCATATAATGCATAGCTACACTGTGGAAGCTGTGGTTTAATGGTCTGGATGGCGTAGAAAGTCTTAGCCTACCTATTGCCAAGAGTTAGGTGGTTACCTATCACCAAGCCTCATATGTTGCGTTTTCCCCCTGAGCATCTATTACTGACCACTCTGAATCATGTTCCTGGACTAGACAGACCTTTGGTCCCTACCAACTACGCTCTTTTTATAATCTTATGTTATAGCTGGCTTTGTTAGTGGCCACAGTGGGAGCAGAAAGTTAATTTTGCAATAATTTTGCCCTTTTGCTCGTGTCAACAGACTGACAGTGGGTGATAGGAAGTTGCCTTGCACACTGTAGCTCGCTCTCTTTCACTGACTTTTCCCACTCTCCAGAACTGGCCTTGAGGACCCTTGTCCCAGCTGGAAATAACCTTACTAAAGCCTCACCTCATACCACTCACAGATACTGAGCGTCCTTCAACAGTACTAAGTCCCCTGTGTCAAAATCTTTGTCCACTGACGTCAATGGCAGAGCTCCCATTAATCTCAGTGGGGACAAGATTGCACTCTCGTTTTTGATTTTACAAAACCAAAACTCCCAATGATTAAGCTTTGCCAACCATAACTACAAAAAAAAAAATCTGCTCTAGTTCAACTGCTTTATTTTGCCATCATCTGTATTTAAGCCATCTGGGGACCTGAAAAGCTTACAGTGAGTAGAGAGAAATTAATGTTAGGAGATTCAAACTTTTACTCAGAAAATCACTGCTAACAACTTCCAGGATTAACGCATTGATAAGCTGTCTGAACGAATCTTTTGTATCCAGTTCTTTTCCTGAGTTGTTGCCATTTGGCTTTATGAGGCTCTATATCAAGTTTTAATTTATTTTCCATTCCACATTTTCTGCTTTTTATCCTTTTGGAATTCAGGAAAGAGCCTTGAAATTCATTTTCCCTGTAAGACATAGTAAATAACACTTGTGCAAAGTACAACGTTACCACATCTGAACAGAACTCAGAGTTTTTAAGAAATATGTTGAATGAGTAAGTTTATTCAAAAAATCTTTAATATTATGGATTTAGAGTAAAATACAGTGGCTGTAATCGTGCTGATGAAGGTGAAAATACAGGCCATGAATTCTCTCCTCTTCCAAGACTGATTGAACACAGCTAAGATGGAATGAAAATGCAGGTCAATAGCTTACCATTTGCTTTGTTTTCTCCTTAAACAGTAAACATGCTATGTTTATATTGTGTTTCTTGTTGGCATCATTGGGCCGCTTCCTTAGCTAGCTGATTAGTGCCAGCTAAAATTCTAACTTATAATATTTATTTTGGATCAAAGATAAGGCCTAAGATAGATATCACACTGTCTTGAGAAAACACCAGTCTAAAATAGGCCTTTCTCACAGGATCCAAACTTAGCAATGAGGGGCTATTCCCCAACTGTCATGCTCCTGACAATGCAGTACTGATTACAAGCACGTTAGGTATGGTAGAAGCATTCATATTTGTGCCGATTTTCTGTAATAACCCTAAAAAGCAAATTGCTTGGTTCACCCTTATGACTCCACTACTTCAGAAGCTGCTACAAATTATTTCAAATTAAGATAAAGAACGAAGAGTCGGCCAACCCCAAATGTTTTCAGAGCTGTCAAGCTTATCTGTAGTTTAAAAGAGAATTGAAAAGCACTACTGTGAGTGATGATTATTTGCTTTCTGGGTTTGTGGCTTTCAGGGAATGACTTCACTTCACTGGGCTGCTTTCCACAACAGGCCCCAGCACACACACACCCTGCTGCAGAAGGGAGCAGATCTGACTCTGGTGGACAAAGACTTCAAAACAGCTCTGCACTGGGCAGTACAGGTGAGCCACAGCTGCTGCTATTTCAACAGGCAATTGCTTGAACTGAGCCGGCTATTGTGTCTCCCAAAATATTCAGAAAGCAAGTGCTTTAGTTGAGAAATGTGGAAAACGGATGCTAAGAACCCCCACTAAGGCCCCCACATTTTGCCATTGGGCACAGATGAAGGATCTTACTTCTACTTCAGAGTATATTTACTGTAGGCTCAGCAATGTCACCTGAAACCAAATTATGAGTTATCTCACTGAGACTATGTATATGCTTCACGTTAAACTTATACCTTAATTTTTTACCAAATCAGAGTTGCAGAAATAAGCAGCTTAGATAGTCTTGCTGAAGACCTTTGGGAATAGAATAATGTAAATGTAATTTAAAACATATTTAAACAGCTACTGTTGTGGAATAATTAAGGAAGACATGGAGCTAAGCGCATTTCTTGTTGAACTGTATATTCTTATCTCCTATGCATAAAACAATACCAAACCACTAAAAAATTACTTGGCAGATAATTAGAGAAGACAAACACACAGGTAAAGAAATATATGTGATATTAAACACTATATTATGCAATTGGTAAAGGATTTATTAGTAAGTGGTGTAAAATATAATGTAAATTAAGAAGTTATGCATAAACTTTACTGCAGAAGACATTCCAGATGAAAGGGGGAGAACAATTATGTAAGTATGTTTTTACTTGTTCACTTGCAATAGCACATTCCGGTAAGTAGCAATATTCAGAACAGCTGCACATCAGATAAGCAGAAACGGAACTCTCATGAAAATCCAGTCATATTTTCCTACAGCGACTAAATATTTGCATCCTCACCTTTTGGGCCAGGTCCACTCATCTTAAAATATGTGTCAACAGAAAAATAAAAAAGCTCTGAACTGCCACATACTATATTTATATACAGGTAAGGACATCTAGAAATGAAAATATGTTTCCTTCAATCACAGCCTCTCACAGATGGTTCACATACAGTAGGCTCAACTTTTGTTTTTCTGAAGTATATTTTGGTCTCTGCAGGCAGTGTTATTTCAACACAGTTTCATACTTCTTCAATCCTGGTCAGCTTGAATTTGGGCTACATCCCTTGTTACTGTGCCTTAGCAGACTAAAGGCACCCAATCTGTTGTGCATTTTTTTCTAGGCCTACTCCAGTGCAGGCACCTTCCAGAGGGAAATCTCTGAAACTAAGGCTCATGCAAATTAGGCAGTGGTCTGGACAACATCTCTGGGAACAACCAGTTTATTCATCAGAAAGATAAAGTGGGGCCCCCTCCACATCAGGACCCTCAGAGATCCCCTCCTACCCTAATCTTTCTTTGGTTCCGCATTTTTAAAATTCTATGATTTAGTCCCACCATTTAACCTTCCCATAACCTTTAGCTCACAAATGTGCAGATTAACTCTGGAAAAAGGGGGAAATTAAAACTGCACAAAGACACTTTGCCTCAGGTGGAGGCAAATCACAAACTCCTCTTCTTTCTTCCTTTTAGCTGCTCCTAGAAACCCCTCCCCCCCCCCCCCCCCGAGAGATTGCTGCTACAAAGCCTTCTAAATTGCTACTTCCATCCACATATTTTTTCCATATTCTACATCAAGAAAGGCTAGTTCAAATATCAGAGCATGGACTAGTCCTGTTAGTATTTCTCTTACTTAAGCTTGGCCAAGAAGAAATACTCTCTGCCATTGCTCCCTACCGCCCTACTAGGCCCAGGAGAACGGGATGCTGTGGACAGCCATAACTTCTCTGCTAGAACTGAGAACAGAACAACAGCTCTGCTGGCTGGGATCATCATTCTCACATCCCATGTTTAATATGCTCAGTGAGCTTCCCCATGGTATTTTCCTCAAGAGTTCAAAGGATGGAGGCAGAGCTGTGTTTGTTGAGGGGACTGTGCCAGAGAATGCCTAATAAACCCTCCCTTTGCTGCTGGAGAGGGGATATTTTCCCTTTAAGAATTGTATTAATATCTTCAGAGCACAAGAGACTCAAAGAGTTCAGGCAGTTAACAGCTGCAGGGATTGTTTTCAGCTGAATAGAGCCTTGTGTTTAATTTCATTTTTTAAAAATGCAGCAAGGGAACGTCAGGAACAGCACAGAAATTCGTTTCAAAAGTTGCAGAAAAGAGGCAGTTTATGCATGTTGGGTTGAAACATGGACTGAGACCACATAGAAACCATCACTTATCATTTGAAACCAAAGTCTAATGTGTGTTTCACATGAAATAATTGTTCCCGACTGGCTGTTTCAAAGAACGTGTTTGGTGTTTGGTCTCCCATTAGACAAATGTGGACCTGTGGGCCAGACACCCTGCTGGAGTCCCAGCCATGTTACTAGACAGATTTTGCCCACACTGAGGTCTGCTATATAGAAAAGCTCAAACTGTCTACTGCACGAACAGTAAATTCACACCCTTAGCGCAAATGTGTTACATCAGCGATGAAAGCACAACCCATTCTGGCTTGAAGTGGGCATGTCGCATGTCAAATTTTGCATTCATTAAGCATTTTTAAGAATTTGCACAGACAGAGTTCCATTAGGAGTGTCTCAGGAAGTATTTCTCACCTTTCATTCCAACCAGCAATAATCTCTGTAATCAGAAGGAAACATAGCTTTATAATGAAAACCTGTTAACTGATACGGGAACCAAATTAAAAGCTTTTCTAAAAGTCTGAGATAATGGTGTGAAATCCTAGTATAATATAGTATATACTATGTTATTATATATGCTAGTATATTACAGACTATAATCATAATTATAGCATAATTACAATTATAAGTAAGTATAATTATGGTATTATTGGCACCTTAGAAATAATCTAGAAAAATTTGAAATCTTCCTGCATTGTCTTGCCATTTGTCATGATTTTTACCAGAAGTTTCTTTGTCTCTTTCTTAAAGCTTTGGCTCCCAAAGTCATATGGTTATGTAAAAATACCAGCTTTCATTTAAAGAATAAACAATCAAACCAAGATTTCTAGCCATCATTTTTGTAAGGCGAAAAAATACAAGCCTCTAGGGATAAAAAGAAGATGACAACTAAAAATAAGCCATTAAGAATAATATTCTGCCATACGGACCTGTGCTCATGATTTTTTTTTATAATTTGATTAACAGTTCTAAGTTTTAAAAAATTACCAGCTTGGAACATTTTCTCTGTAGCTACAGTACAATTATTTCATTCCTGCATTTTCTGGGAGCAGAAATACCTACATGTTTTAATATAGATTGCAAAAGAAAAGTATAGACAATTATTCACTTATGTTTGGCTGACAAGGCTTGGCAGCCCTTTGTAATTGCTTGGAAGGTGAGACCACACTTAACTGTCAAGATCTCTAGGAAGGAATCTCTTTGCTGCTGCAGGGGATCTAGAAAGGCACAGCTGGCCACACAGAGAAAGCAATGGTAGTTAGGGCCGTGGTGTCTCTGCATGGATCACTCTGAGCACATTCTCAGTCTCCACATAAATGGGTATAGTCCAGGACCCCATTTTTTTCTGTGCGCTGCCTGTGGTGGAAAGATTCAGAGAGAAACTTCTACGATATAGTAAAACTAAGTGAGTGTTTCTTTCCTTGTAAAATTGTACTTGTTTTCTCCTTGTTTCATGCAGTTTTCCAGAGATAGCTATAGAGGGACAGTAGCAACTTCTTTTTTTATCTCCAAAAACTTTAAAGACCTTTTGACTGTTAACCAACAAATTAAAAAAAAGATTCAAATTTCATTTTTTAACTATTTCCTTGAGAAATTCCTTTCTCTGGTAAATATTGTCATTCCAGCAAGGGTGCAGCTCTGCCTCATGGAGGCTGGGCCATTGCATGGCAGTAGGGCTCTATGGAATGAGCTGTCAAGATGCAAAACAAGGAAGAAGAGAGGTTGCAAACAGGATAGTTTTAAGCTGGTAAGAAATAAACATATTCCATATATATTCATATATTCATATATTCATATAGGAATGATGACATTCCTATATCATCAGGTACTTTTTCCCAAAAGTGCCCTAATCCTTTGTAGCAACATTTGTATCAGCAAATTAATTGTAAATGAGTATGATCTCCAACACTGAGGTCAGCTATCACAGGACAGTCTGTGACTCTACTGTTAAACTCTCTTATTCTCCAAAACAGGATGGCCATATAGAAACTGCCTGTGGCCCACCTTAACTCCTGAACCACGCTCAGGAGTTGGTGGGGAAAGTGTTAAGTGGCCCAAGTCAAAATCATGCCAGGGAAGATTTAAAAAATTTTACGGGATGGACAATTGAGTTCCAGTGTCCAGAAATGTTTCCTAGTGCTACTTAGCTTTCTAGTATAGCTATATCCTATTCTTCCACTTTCGTTTGTGTCAGTTTATAAGCCGAAGCCCCCACCATGGCTTGTACACGGTACAGAAGTGCACGATATTGGTGTACAAGCTCATCAGTACAATCAGATTGTCAGAAAAACTGCCTTTACCTAAAGTAACTGACCGTTAAACAGTAAATCCTTCAAGCATGAACATGCCATCGACAATGTAATTATTCATGTCAATCAAATTTCCACATAAATCAATTGCAGAACTCCCATTGAGCTCAGCAGAAATTTGTCTAGGGCAAAATCCATAGGTAAGTACAGGATAATTGCCATATCTCTCCCAGCACACGGTCTATGTGTAACACTGTAAATGGATGCCAGAACATGAGTAATGTGCATGTACCACACCTCCTGCATGTGTATAAACATCCTAATCTCCTGTACCTTACACAAAGGCACTAGGAGATAAATGTTTCCATTTCTCTGATAGGGGTAAGGAATAAATCCTTCTTCTATTACAGAATAAAAAATGAGCCCTTTTTCAAACCACATCAACTGCTCATCCACAGAAATCAGTCCTCACATCAACATACTAGCTAGAAAAAGCTGCCAAGTAATTTTAGTCATAGCCATAGTACACAGTAAATCATATAGACTTATTATGTAAGGGCCTAAGTGAAAATAAATTCTCAGAGAGACTTGGCC